AAAAAAAAAAAAAAAAAAAAAAATAGCACACAAAGGAAAAACATAGCTCAGTTAAAAACAAGCTCAGTTAAAAATAACCTGCAGCTATCAATGGGAAAGGTCCTAAATAAACTAGTATCAAACAGATTTCAGTGGTTTGCTACAAAAATGATAAAACATTACCAAGTAGAGTTGTTTTGTGGGAAAATAAACAATTCAAAATTTAAAAACCTATTAACATAATCCTCCACAGTAACAGAGCAAAAGACAAACTAAAATCACACAGATATTGCTTGCTTTCTGATGCTGAACTGACAACTAGCAAAATTTACTTGACATAAATGTTCTTTAAAACAAGGATAAATTTATGTATCTTGAACATGACAAAGTAGCATGTGTATCTCAAACCCAAGAGTTAGTATCATGTGAAAAATCACTGAAAGTGTCCTTCTCAGAATCATGTGTAACACCAGGCCATCTGCTTTGCCACTGTGGCTTTACTTTGCTCTGGAAGTATTTGCTAATGCACTTACACAAAAAAAGAGAAAAAGTTCTAAAAATCTGGAGGATACTTGTAGATGAGATGATCTGATAATTTATGATAACTGTTGAAGAAACTTACCCCAAATATTAAGAGAATTTATCAGTACAAAATACAAGTTCAGAAATCAGTCTTCATATTCTCAATGGTAGTAAATTGAGGACATAATAAAGGCAAATACTACAAAACAAAACATGAAAAAACTACAAAATGAGCCAGGCATGGTGGCATATGTCTATAATTTCAGGCACTTAGTAGGATGAAGAGTCCAAAGACAGTCTGGGCAACTTAGGGAGATCCTGTCTCAAAATAAAAAATCAAAAGGGCTAGGGGTTTAGCTCAGTGGTAAAGAGCCCCAGGGCTCCATTTCCCACACTGGGAGGAGGAGGGGAATGAAAGAGGAAAGGGTAGCTCTGGACAGCCAGAATCTCAGCATCTGGGAAACTGGGGTAGAAGAGCCTGGGACTGGTCTCAAAAAAACAAAGACAGAATGCTTGGCAAGCATGTCCAGAGCCATTGGTTTAATCCCCAAGACTAGGGGAAACAAAACAAAACTCATTTGAATATATGGAAAGGTTCTCAACCTCTCAGAGAAGTACAAATTAATATACATTGAGATGTTATTTTTCTACCTCTCATGTTGGCAGTGATCCAGAAGTTTGGTAAGTTGCTACACTGAAGAATGTATAGAAAAACAGATACTCTGGCATAATGCTAATAGGGATATAGTTACAAAAGGAGGGAAATTTGACAATATCCATAATTTACAAATGCACACTTAACATGTGCTAGTAATATTCTCATATGTGTCTTTTCTTTGAGACAGGGTCTGATATGTAGCCTGCAATGGCTTTGAACTCATGATCCTCTTTCCTTGGCCTCCCAAGTAATGGGATTATGGGCATGCATCACCACACTCAGCTTCATGTATTTGAAATGACAAACTGTATCGCTTATAAAAACACACTGACATGGGGGCTGGGGATTTAGCTCAGAGGCACAGTGCCTGCCTGGCAAGCACAAGGTTGTGAGTTCAATTCCTGGTACTGGGAAAAAAAAAA